ACCCCAATGGTATGCCCCTGAAAGTAATGCATCAGTTTTCTTGCTGCCATGATGAGAGCAAGGATGAGTTTTTCCAACAGAAGGTAACGTGTTTCGGCGTCAACCATTGCCTTGCTCACATAGTAAACTGGCCGCTGTTCCCCAAGTTTTTCATTTAATAGCACGGCGCTGACCACCCGGTCGGAAACTGCCAGATATAAAATGAGCGGATTACCTGCCGAAGGTGTTGCCAAGAGCAGAACTGATCGGAGGTAAGTCTTTAAACTGTCCAAAGCGGCTTCGCAGTCGGGGGTCCATTCAAAAGCTTTACCTTGCCGAAGGGTATGAAAGAATTGTCGGCAGCGATATGTGGAACGACTAATGAACCTGTTGAGTGTGGCGGCCATTCCCATCAGTTTCTGAACCTCTTTGACCGACCGAGGAGAGCCAAGTTCTAGAATTGCTGTGATTTGCCTCGGGTTGGCTTTGATTCCGCGGTGGTTAACAATGTAGCGAAGGAATTTGCCGGATTTGATGCCAAATGCACATTTGGAAGCGTTCAGCTTCATTTTGTATTTGCAAAGAATGCCGAATGTCTCTTCCAGATTGGCTAGATGAGTTTGCTTTTCCTTGGACTTGACCACCATATCGTCGATGTATACTTCCATGGTACAGCCGAGTTGCTTTTTAAACATAGCAGTCACTAGTCTTTGGTAGGTTGTTCCCGCATTCTTCAGCTCGAAAGGCATGACCTTATAGTAATAGGTTCCTCTCGAGGTGAGGAATGCAGTTTTTTCTTGGTCCTCCGGATGCATGGCAATTTGATGGTAGCCTCTGTAGGCATTCAGAAAGCTCATACGTTGATGATGTGCCGTTACATCTACGAGTTGGTCTATTCTGGGAAGGGGAAAGCAATTCTTGAGACAAGCTTTGTTTAAGTCCGTGAAATCCACACAAACACGCCAAGTTCAATTTTTCTTCTTTACAACCACATTATTCGACATCCATGTAGGATAGGTCACTTCACGGATTGTCCCGGCATTAAGTAACCGATCAACTTCTTCAACAACGGCAGTAGTATGGCTTCGCGGTTGACCGCCGGCTTTTCTGAACAATTGGCTTACATTTTGGATCAACGTTTAAGCGGTGCTGTGACATGGATGGATCCACCCCCGACATCTCATATGGTGACCATGCAAATACATCAAGGTTGCCGAGTAAGAAGGATATTAGCTCTTGCCAGTCGGCTTTACTTAGGGAAGCGTGCCGACCATGAAAAACTTGTCAGGATTCCCGTCAATTTTAACCCGATTCAGGGCTTCGGTTGCCTTTTCACTTGGGAGCCGCCCAACATCGTCGAGGCTCTCTCGATCCAGCACCTCAATTGAATTTACTTCCAGTTCTTTTGGTGTCTTCGCAGTAAGAAGATAACATGCCTGCGTCGATTTCTGGGAACTACGAATTTGCCCTATGCCGCGTTCAGTCGGAAAGCGAAGTAGTTGATGATAGGTGCTTGGCACGACCTGTATGGTATGCAACCAGGTTCATCCTATAATGAGATTATACGGTGAAGGAAGCTTGACAACCAGAAATTCTACGTGCACTGATCGGGAGCCCGCCCGAACTGGTAGTGTGATTTTGCCCAAAGGATATTCCGGATTAGCGTTGAAGCCGAATAACGGGTTATCAGTCGGAGACAGATCCGACTTAGTGAAGCCGAGTTTAACGAAGGTCTTGTAGTACATTACTTCTGAAGTACTTCTCTGGTCAATGAGAACACGTTCAATGGTGAATCGATTTACGTGTAGTTCAATGACTAAGGGATCAGTGTGGGGGAGCGTTACGCCGACCAAATCAGAATCATCGAAACTAATATTTGCAGCTTTATGGGGCCGTTTCGCTGGTGTGATTTGCTTTTGGGGGTTAGGCTACAACTGAATTGTATGTATCGTGGATGCCGTCGGCAAGCTATATATCATATGAATTACGCCGAGTGGAGGTGAATCTTGCCGTAAAGCTACTGTTTTTGTTGAATTGTTCTTTCGGATGTGTTGCATAAACCGACCGTCTTGCACCAACTCCTCAAGGTGGTCCTTCAACGCATAACAACTGTCGGTGTCATGACCGTGGTCTTTGTGATATTCGCACTGCCTATCCCGTCTTCTCGTGTCGGGAGGTCCCACCATCTTGGGTGGCCATTTAAAGAATGGCAGGTGTTGAATTTTAGACATAACTGTACTGATCGGCTCCGATAACTCTGTGTATTTCTTGTCTACGCGCCTTATGCGCCTGCTATTCACTTGAAGTTGCTCATTAGCTCGATGTGAACATTAGTCATTTGATCGGAGCGAATACCGTCTTTTGTCTTGTTTAGCCTGATTCCGTGATTCAGGGCTCTGTGGTGGTATAGCGTTTATCGGTTGCACGATTTCAGACGGGGACGTCTTATTGGCCTTGTGCCCGGCTTTGACCCGTAGGGTATCATCTTCCACCTTGCAGTATTCCTCGACTTTCTTCATTAACGACCAGACTGTTTTTGGGGGCCATCTGGTCAAGGAGCTGCGGAGGGCACTATCAGGATGCAATCCCATCTTAAAGGCGGTGATGGCCATGGAGTCATTGCGGGCATCATCTACTAGATTAAAGTAGGGCTGAGCAAGGAATCCGTGAAATCCGTAATCCGATCCAGTCCAGTCCAATCCGATAGGTTTGGATTGGTTTTTTGAATCCGCGGTTCGGTTCCGGATTGAAGAATTAAAAATCCGTAGTTCACGGATTGGTTCCGGATTGAATCCCACGGTTCCGGATTGGAACCGATCCGGACCGTATACAAATAGTCTATATTTTTATTATACATCCTCCTCCATAGTATCTTCTCTTATTCTATGTAAAATCTAAACTCAAACCTAAAACCGTATAATATCTTCTTTTATTACTTTTGTTTGTTAGTTTTAAGTTTTAATTTGCAATGGTCTAAATACTTATGGTGAAATCAGTTTTCTTATGGTTGTTTAAATTCTAGAACAGTATGTCGTTATTATAGAAAAACATATTGCTATTATGGAACTAATATAGCGTTATGTTTATATTTTTGTGAAATTCAAGTGTTATATATATATATATATATATTTTTTGTTATTTAATTATGTGAATCCGTGGTCCTAAACCGATCCAATCCGTATTTAAATGGATTGGTTCGGATTGGTTCCATGATTTAAACGGATTGGATTGGTTCCAATTTTTCAGGAACCGTAAATAACGGATTGGTCCTGGTTTTATCCCAATCCGATCCAATCCGGACCATGCTCACCCCTAGATTAAAGCATTCCCAATAGCGCGCCGAATATGTACGAAGGGTTTCTCCTGGTTGAATTTGTATTGCCCAGAGAGAATCAGCTTGCTTCGGCTGGACCTCATTGGTGATGAATCTTGCCCTGAAAGATTTTTGGAGTTGGTGGAAGCTCTTAATCGATGTCGGTTCCAATTTATAATACCATCTGACGGCCAGTGGTCCCAAACTGCTCGGAAATATTCAACACATGAGGGCCTCGTCGTCTGCATGAAGCGTCATGGCTTGTTTATAATGACGAATGTGATCGGTGGGGTCCGATTTTCCATCATACAGGGTGAATGATGGCGCTTTGAACTTTTTGGGTAGCACTGCCCTTGCGATCCGTCGCACAAAGGGGTCATGTTGATCCTTTTCGTCTGAATCATTTCTTCGCTTATTCCGCGCACGCAGACTTCCTCCGGAAGAATTGGAGACTTCGACTCGTCCCTTCTTTTTGGATTCTGGGGATGATGAGTCAGAATCACTGCCATTATCATGTCTCCGAATTCGAGGTCGTTGACCATCCTTTCCCAAAGGTTGTCCCCGATCTTGGCACGCGGCCTGTTGGGATTTTGCCACCTCCAGGGCCAAATCCCGTAGAAGGCGCTCGTTCTTAGCCATCATGTTTTCTAACCTCTGTTCATTTTGCTTCGCCTGACCCATAATCGCTAGCATCGTCTCATGTACTGATGTGTGTGAGGTCTGGGCAATTGAGTTGAAGTTCAAGGCCCTTCGTGCGGCAATGTTCTTTGGCCCAAGCATGTTTCTTGGAGTGGTATCATCTCGTGGCGTAAGGTCGTCAGCGACTATCGAAGGATCTTTTGTCACGCCTACTATGGATGTGCTTGAGTATTCCCACAGACGGCGCCAATGGTGGAGATGTGGTTTGGAAATACTCTATGGATCCTGTAGGACGCTCTTGATCCTCAGCTAGTCACCTGAAAAGGAATGAACACTCCGGTCGGGGGTGCTGGAATTAACACTCTGACGGATAAGTCAGTGTATACTCTCTTGGTTGCTTGTATCTCAAGTTAATCTTATTTGTTCTCACATACCTTTTCTTAGCTGATGCTCCTTTTATTTATAGTCGTCCTTGATGTTGATGGTTGGGCCCACCTTTCGACCAACGAATAATTGCTTACTCGGCTATTCTGTCCTACCTATTCGTACGCGGCCCAGTTTACAGCTGATTCTACGGCCGATCTGGTTATTCGGCCTCTGTGTTCCTCTAGGATAGAGCCGTATAGTACATAACTTGATTTCTTTCTTTAACTTAAATCGGCTTCCCTACGTAATAATATTATTCGGCTCCTACAAATCTTTATCGCTATCATTTGGCAATTGAATGAACATTTTAGCATACCTTTTCCGTAACCTATAAAACATGAACTACATTGGATGGCAGTGTAGTTCTTGCCATTTAATATTATTAACTATCATATCTGGGCATATATCCTGTTAATAATATCGAATCCCTATCTTTAAGTTTCATTATTGTTCGGTTTACTATCAGCAATAAACCAAGTACCCAAGTATCTTTTGGCCTACATGAGCAATTTTTAGTAGGGATTTTTGCATGATTTATTAATTGCCTAGTTACCTTTTTTTTTTGGGATCAGCAACGAACATAGATTTTGTTGTTAATGGTGTTGTTATGATCTGCATGCAACATTTTTGTGTTTTCATGCAGCTATGATAACAAGGAAATTGCCTTGAATTGTGGAAATATATTGAGGGAATGCATCAAATTACCTACTCTTGCAAAGTAAGACACTCATGCTTTTATTTATTCCTTTAGTTATTTTTTGAAGGTCCTTATTTTCTTACTAAAATTGATGCTAACATCATGAATCATTTTGCTATTTCCAGTCGATGTATTTAAATAGTTGGCCATTCTTTATGTATTAAACAAATAAATAAATAAGACAAAGGTTGATGTTCTTGGGGGTATGATTGCTTTAAAATGTTGCCGAGGCTTACTCGTGAGGTTTGTCCAAAGATGAGACATTAGACAGACTGCCTCAAATTAGTGGCATTAGAGAAAATAAAACCTTGCTTGCTTGCATAGATAAAAGAAAGCCACAACCTGTACTGCGAATGGTTGCACATCTTTCTCTTTGCCTGATGTGGGAAGGTACAATCTTATTGCATAGTATAAGGAAATAAATACACGTTCTTTATTTTTAGTGCACCAAACCCCACAAGGAGTTGTGCTGGTGAAGGAGTCGTCTTCTTTGATTCTACTTTACATTAGTTCCCTCTCTCCCGATGAGGCTATTTTTCTGGAAGAATGAAACCAATGATCCAAAAATTGGTTGGAAGGGAGAGGGATCACCTTTGCAAAATATTAAACTCTGAATCTAAATTGACAAGGATTTAAGAGAGTTTCAATCTGTATTCTGAAATGCTTGACATTTGTATCGTGATTCTGATTTTCAATTAGTTTGTAAGAGAAGCATTAAAGCAAACATTTTCTGAATGGAAGAACTTTCCCTTTTAATGTTGTCGGTTGTCATAGAGCTGAAGTGTTCTACTAAAATTCCTAATGCTTTTAAGGTTTCTGTACACTATGTTGAGTAGGGCTTCTAAGCATTAGGAATTTAACACTTGTTTACCTGGTGTGTGAATCATATGCAGCCCAAGCAAATTCCTTGTTGAGAAAAGAACTCAGTATGGGTTGTTATCGGAAATGTAGCCCTTATATTAGAGGGCTTGATAACGTTAATTTAATTAGAAGTTAGATAATTCTGCCATTTGTGGAAGCCAGTAGCTTTAAAAGCTGAGAACATAATTATAGACAGTAGAGTATATGCAGTTAAAAACCTATCACTGTAGTGATTGTCTTACTTTCACATGTGAATTCCTTCTCTCCTTGTTATTAGATTTTATCTTGTTGACAACTCCAACCCTGTAGGTAGGGAAAAAAAGAAAAGAAAAGAAATTCAGTTTCTTTGTATACAAGTTGCACCCCTTGTAGGTTTGCCACTTCAGTCCTCGCTTCTTTTCTTTGGAACTTGTAGGTTTCGTGCAGTATTTTTATTACTTGAGCAAATATCATTTTCACACTCACAATCTTCTGTAGTGTTTTTGCAGATACATATTGGAATCTCCAAGCTTTATGTTGTTCTTCAAATATGTGGAACTGCCTAACTTTGATGTTGCCTGTGATGCATTTTTAACCTTTAAGGTCAGATCTATGAGTTTATAGCTCTTGGTAAAAACTTATTTTGGTTCTCAAAGCCCATTTACCTGCTGCATATTGAGATATCTTTTTAAGGAAATGTTCACAGGATCTGCTTACCAAACATGAAGCTGCAGTCTCTGAATTCCTGACTGCTCATTACGATGAGGTTTGCTTCTTCGCCTTTCTTACATTAAGGTTATGAACAAATCTAGGCACCCTCAAATGTTTGTTGACACCATTAAAATATGTTCCCATGGAGTGTTTCCAGGTAGGAAATCCCATTTATCGAGGCCTGTTCTGGCCATCTTGGAAATCCTTTTTTTGTGTTCTTTCTAAATTACTGAAAAGTGTGCGATGCAAATTCTTTATTGTGCACACCTGCGTTGTGCAGGCAGTGAAGGTGGCTTTATTCATATTTATCTTGGTACATTTACTGTTTATTGTTTATTTTGGCTTATCTAATAAATGGTTGTTGTTTCAGTTCTTCGAGCAATATGAAAAACTCTTGACCTCCTCTAACTATGTGACAAGAAGACAGTCTTTAAAGGTTAATTGTCCATCTGATTTGTTGGATTTGCTCTCTCTGAGTGCTATAGTTCATGTGATTTATTAACTATAGAATGTAATGATTTTAGCTTCTCTCGGAATTTCTTTTGGAGTCTCCAAATTCGCATATAATGAAGCGCTACATTGTTGAGGTTCGATTTATGAAAGTCATGATGACTTTGCTGAAGGTATTGAATATTGTATTTTCCATCGACGCTTTTACTATTTTCTGTTTGCATGATCTATAGGTAGTTCTGGATATACTAAGCAACGGTTTTTGGTGATGTCTGTGCACTTAAATCTTCAGTTAAGTTAAACTTAGTAATTCAGATTCTCATTTATTTAACATATTTTGCTGCCTTTTGCTTAGTTCCTTTTTTTTTGGGTTAATCTAGGTCACTTTGTTCTGTTATTTTGTGCTTTGTGGTTTACAATTTCATAGCCTATACTGTAAAGGAACTTTGTTGAAACATAAAAAAATTGTTGCGTAATCGATTCATCTATTGGTTTTGCTGCTAATCTGTTGAAGTCCCTTCCTTCTGGGCCCAGCTTGGTTGGATCCTTGCGTTCTCGAATATTTTCCCTATTATTCTGCCTAACTTACCATTGTCAACCAATCAACGATTGCATCATAATGTATCTTAATGCTCATAATTATGATACAATGTTGACAAAAATTAAACCTTTTGCAGTAAAATGGATCCAGTGTAGCATAGTTTACATAGTACTAACGATAATAGTCACCTGATAATTAATATTGTCTCGGTCCACAGAAAGCCTTCATCTATCTGCCTAACCTACCATATTGTCAAAGACAAATATGAATGCATGCACTCAAATTCTTTTTAATTGTACATCCTCCATTGTCTTACCTGTTTGCTTTTGTTTTGAAATTTGCTTGTGAGCAGGATTCAAGCAAAAATATCCAGATCTCTGCTTTCCATATTTTTAAGGTAGTGCATTCCATGCTGTCAAGGATTATATTATACCATTACAAACCCCCTCAGCTTCACAAAAAAATTAAAAAAAAGGAGGAGGAGAAGACGACGAAGGAAGTGGGCCATACATGCTGGCTTTTGTTTTATTTATTTATTTATTTATTCTAAAACTTGACCATCAAAATTGAACCATACCTCTGAAAATGGAAAGTACAAGTTCCTAGGAGCCCTTGTGTTGCACTTTACCATGGATTGGGGGTTTCCCTTTTATCACATACAATTCTTTGTTAGTTTCACAAATCCTTTCCATTGGCTACTTAATTAATAAACCGCATCATACTGCATAAATAACTTTTCGTGGATTACATGGTTACTAAAAGGGCCGTGCATGTCTATATGCATTTTAATTTGCTTTATTTTATTCTACCTATAGGTTTTTGTGGCCAACCCTAACAAGCCTCAAGAAATAAAAGTTATCCTCGCTAAAAATCATGAAAGATTGCTGGGCTTGCTTCACAGTCTCTCTCCTGGAAAAGGTAAATGCATACTTAAATCATCTCCAATTTAAGAGCAACGTGGTCTAATTGATAATGACGGTCTGCATACATGATTGGTTCTTGTTAATATCTGTTACAATCATTGTTTGTGTTGGATCCTGCCTGTCACTGCTAATTCAGTATACTTTTCAGGAGCTGATGATGATCAATTCGAAGAGGAAAAGGAACTGATAATAAAGGAAATTGAAAGATTGTCTCGGCTACCTAACCTTGCATGATAGAGGTACCTTCCCATAATTGTTTCATAGTTGTGTAGCCTTGTAATAATGACAATTCCAAAACCCCATTTGAGAGGAAAAGGAAAAAAGAAAAGAAAGCAATATCTATTATTTGTCAGTGGTTGAAAAGCTAGGGGCTTATTAGTAATTTTTAAAAATCCAAAAAAGCCAGTTTAAATAGAGGCCATTAGCAACTGTGTTTCAATTGTTGAAATTAATAGTCAGTAATGGAAATGGTGAGTGTAATATATATATATATATTAAATTTGAGCTGTGATTTTCAATTCAAAATCTGAACCTATCAGTTTCAGCTTGCATAATTTTCATTTTTTTTTGCTCTTTTTAACATTTTGTTTCTCATGTTATATTTGAACCCTTTTTTTTTTCTTTTTTCTTTTTTTTTGTACCTAAAAAAAGAAAAAGAAAAAGAAAAAAGGAAGACCTAGACACCCACACCCACACGTGACCTCCCCAAGCCACCTCCACCACCGGTGACCTCCTTACCCTCCCCAACCACCCTCCACCTGCGGCGCACACACAAAAAAAAAAAAAAAAAAGCAAAGCAGGGAGATGGAGGACCTGGATTCCAATTTTTCTTCCAATTTTTACAAATCATTTTTGTGCAATCTTTGATATTTGTAATTTCTCAAATTAGATGGAGGAATTTGTATTTTAGACAAATTTTAGGGAGTGTATTGATCATTTCTCCTACATTGTATTTGTTAGACAGTTGCTAGGGTTTGCAGGAGTTGAAATTGTGGTCGTTAAGAAATTGCAAAGTGAAGCCTACAAAATGAAATCATAATCTTCTAAAACTCAATTAATCAAGTATGAATGATGAGAAAATTGAATTAGGACAAATTATTTTGGTCTTGTTTATTAATGTTTTTGTTGTAAAAAAATATGGAAAATCAGAACCGAGAATGAGTTTAATATCTGTTCTGCTTGTTAAAAAATACTGTAGCTTTCAAAATTATCAAAAATTATACATATAAAAAGATATGTTTTGACTTGTTTTGAAAACAATTTTCAATAAAAATGGGTGTTCTTATTCATTTTGAAAACGTGCGTATAAAATATAATTTTTTTGTTAAACGGAAAATTATATTTTCCTCTCAATATATCACCATAAGGTTTTTATGTATGAATAAAATTAGTCAAGTTAACTTGAGTTTGACCTGTAATTAACTTTCTAAGAATTAATTAATTTATTATGCAAATAAGTTAAATTTAAATATATTATAAAAATTGTTAAATTTTTAAGTTGAATTTAATAACTTATTACATAATAAAATGACTGGGCTTGCCTTCAGTTAAGTTTGGGTATGTTAGATTTTATAGGTTTCGTTTTGATAATCAGAATCGTTAATTTTGAAAAATTGTGTGTATATCATTTATAAAAAAATTAAATTGATTTGATAATTGTAACTATTTTATTTTATTACATTTGTCTTAAAAAAAAAAAAAATTATTTTTAAAAGCATATTCACCGTCTATTTTCTTGATGTCAAACCCAATAAAATAAAAAGATTATAATTTGATGTCAAACATAAGAAAATAAAAACAATTATATTTATCAAATTAAATTAATTATTTTTATAGATTAAATTTATTAAATTTTAATTAAGATTTTTTAGACTTTTAAATTTTATTAAATTTTAATAGTTGTAATTGTCATTTAAATAATAATTATTCATAATTTATGATTATTTATAAAAGAACAGGATGATTTGACATTTATTTTGAATTTCAAAATTTTAAAATATCAACTTTTAAATTGAAAAAAAATAATGTGTAAAAAAAAAAAAACTAATAAACTGAATTATTTTTGTGCAAAACTAACAATTTCTCCTATAAAAAGGTATGATGATGGAATATTGATATGCAAAATTAAAAAAATAATAATAAATAAATAAATGCAAAATTAAAAAAATTGATAATGTTCTCAGTTTTATTAGATAGTTAAATCAAACTAACAAGCAAAAAGACAAAAACATTTGATCTCATGCCCTGTTTTTTTATCAGTTACTCAAACAATTATTTAGAACATTACTATACAAAATTGATAATATTTTTAATTTTAAAAATTAAAAAAATTGATAATATTATCAATTTTATTAAATAAGATTTATTGATTTTAAAATTTTTAAATAGAATCTGAATTATTATAATATTTGTAAGTAAGATTTTTAAGTAATTAATTCTGAAATTATATGTACTGCTAATTTAAAGTCAACCTAAAAACTACATGAGTGAAACATAAAACTTGTTCGAATCCAAACCTAGAACAACCTTAACTGGCTCTCTGACAATGTCCCACACGTCTACGCTTTCAAGTCCTACTTGAGCTGAATATCAACGTCTATATATACATCCCACTCACACAAACATACAAATTCAAAAACACTCACCTTCTTCTTCTTCTTCTTCTTCTTCTCACTTGTCTTCAAACCCTAGTTAATTTCTCATTGCTTCAAATTCAAACCCTACTCTCTCTCTCTCTCTCTCTCTCTCCATGAATTTCTTCAATTCTCTCTCCTCAGACGACCCACACACCTCTTCTTCCTCCCCACCACCCAATTCCCGATCAAACGACCCCTCAATTTCATCAATCACCAATGTGTGGTCCTTTGGTGACCGCCTCATCAAAACCCTTGCTTCCAAATCCAAGTCTCTGATCGAGATCTACTGTCGTGATCTCAAGGAATTTGCCTCCGGGCTGAGGAACGAGACCGCCCTGATTCAGGAGTTCGCCCTTAATTTTGGGAACAGAGTCTCTGAGATCGTATGTGACGGTAAGAAGGACTCTGTTCTTCTTGCTGGTGATTCTGAAGAATTTGAGAATCTGAAGAATTCGAGACCGTATAGTAGGTTTGATGTGCAAATTCGCAAAATTCAATGTGCTTTGAATACGTATTGCGAGGAACCGGAGAATTTAGAGGAGTACTATAAGTGGGATTTAGGGTTTAATTTGGATGAGAAGGAATGGGAGATTGATGATTTGATCGAAGAGAATGGGATGATTGAAGAGATTTATAATGAGGTTGTTCCCAGTAGGATTGATCGGGAGACCTTTTGGTGTCGGTATTTTTATTGGGTTTGTAAGGTTAAGAAAGCAGAGGAGGCAAGAGCTAGGCTTGTTAATAAGAGGGCAATTTCAGTACAGGAGGAAGAAGAGGATGAATTTGGTTCGGATGTTGATGACGATGATTATGAAGAGATTGATGGGTCTAAGTTGATGAAAAATTCAAAACAAAAGGCGGGAGAGAAATATTCTTCAGAAAATATTGTTGTCGAGAGGTCTAACATTGAAAGTGAAGAAAAGAGCCTGAAACAAGAAGAAGATAAGGGGGTTGTTTCTGAATCCAAAAGTGACAATGGGGTTGATAAGAGAGTGCATTTGGATGATGGGTCTGAATCAATTGGCAGCATGTCGGAGGCAAGATCTGATGAATTGGGTTCGGAAAGAAAGATAGAAAATGGCCGATCGTGTAAAGATAGTGACTTTTCCGATGTCTCAAGCCAACCATCATTAGTACCTGAGGAAGAAGACGATTTTGGGTGGGATAAGATTGAAGATATTGATAGCATTGATTCTGGAAGATGCTATGAAGAGGAGGAAGATCTCAGTTGGGATATTGAGGATTATGACGAGCTTGTTGATCCACGATGATAAATATTCTGAGTTTTGTTCTATATAACTCACTACTACTCTCTCCAAATTGGGATATTTTGCAAATTGTTAATTTTTATGCCATGATGGTGAGTTTTTTATTTTTTATTTTTAAGGTTGAGGTGTGAATACAATATTTTTTTATCAAGTGATTAATTGTGTTAGTGATCTAGAATTTTATATGTTAGGAGTCTCTTAAAATTGTTAATTCATATAGAATGGATTGTTTTTTGCGTTTACTTCCCAAATGGTGAGTATGTGTTTTTTTTTTACAAGTCAAACCCATTATGTATCCATGTCCAACTTATTTGTGCTTGATTTGTACTCGACTTATTAAGTTTGTTCAAGATATGCTGGTTATGCAAATAAGTTAAATTTAAACATATTTTAAAAATTGTTAAAGTTTACATATCAGTCTCCTTATTAAACTTGGTTTGTGATATGTTTGAAACAACTTCATATTCAACTTAACTCAACTTACAAACGTAGGTGGGAACTGCTTTGGAACCCATTTTAATTTCTCAATTGGTTTTGGTACTCATCTAAGCTATATATTAAGTAAAAAGGGGTTTTAATCCAAGGCTTGTGGGAGCTCCAATCTCTCATTCTAAATTTCATGATTTTTTGATTTTAAAAAAAAAACTTTAGTATTTATTAATTTCTCCTAACCCCCAAGTCTTACCATCATAGTAACACTTTAATGTATTAAGAACAAGTATAAATTTTTTTTTTTGAAATCTAATACATATGAATTCCTTGAAAAGTCTCAACACATATGATTATTATCCCTTCTAATAACACTTTAATTCATTAAGAACAAGCATAAAAAAAATTTCTTGAAAAATTCAACACATATGATTATTATCAAAATATTAAACTTTAATATAATATAATAAAAAAAGAAGACATTTAGGGTTGGTTTGGCATAACCTATATAATCTATCTTTTTATCTTTTTTCCATCACATCACCTCTCTACTTTTCTGCACATCTTTTCTTAAAAAGACAAAAAGTACACTTTTTTAGGACACTCCGAACCAACCCTTAATTCCTTAAAAAGTCCAACACATATGATTATTATCAAAATATTAAACTTTAATATAATATAAAAAAGGAAAAAAATAATACATTTAAAAAACATATATAGATAATTGTAAATATATTAAGGAAAATGAGGTTTCTAAATCCCAAGCCTTATGGGAGCTCCAATATCTCAATGTTTTCTAAATTTTTGATTTAAAAAAAAAAAACCTCAGCATTTATTGATTTGGTCAAAATCCCCTAATCAGCATTTATTAATTTTTTTCAATCTACATGTCTGCATTTATTGATTTGGTCAAAATCTCTTATTAACATTTAAAATCCCCTCATACAAATAATTATAGATACAGCCTGTGCATAGTTACTGCAGTAGCCTTTTTAATTTCTTCTGTACACTATGGTTAGTGATAAGATTATTAAATTATTTTTATAAAAAAATCTTAAAAAACATAATTTATATATTAAAAAAATTAAAACAAATATAAATATATATAATTATCCCGTGCAAAGCATAGGTGATAGGCTAGTTATTTGTTATTAAAATGTCTTTAGGATTGGCCCCTTGGTGTTTATGAATATTTAGGCATCGTTTGGGAACCCAG